ACAGCCACAAGGAGCCAAGTATTCCCTGAGGCATACGACAGCTCTGGCCCGGCGCTGCCCCTCGTAATGACACGTTAATAAATGTTTTCTTTCTTTTCTTTTCTTTTTTTTTTTTTTGGCAAACCCCACCAAATCTTCCAACTAGTATTTATAATATACTTTACTTTTCCAGTCTAATGAATATAGACAACCGAGTGAGTTTTAGCCTTTTCTGATCCTTAGGACACCCAGTTTGATAAAGGCCAACGTGGCTTTGTGACATAGCTGCCTTGACACCCAGTTTGATAAAGGTCAAGGTGGCTTTGTGACGTCGCTGCGCCCGAGGAAAAGCTGAGGCGCATGCTCCACCTGCCCTCTTTCGCCCCGGCCGTGGGAATGGATACATCTGTCCACGTGCGGAAGATCAGCAGGCCATGACAACGACCACAACCACCACCACCGTAACCGCAACGCGCTCTATCTCCTGCCCCATTGACCCTGTGCGGCTGTCCTCTCGCAACTCGCAGCTCACAGAGATGGCCTCGACCAGTCAAGGACACTTTGACGCTTATGAGGCACTGGATCTTACAGAATTTGCCAAAAACCACCAGCCTTGGTGGCGCAAACTTTTCGGGGAGGAGACACGGTCTGCAGGCGAGAAGCGCAGTGTGGCAACCCAGCTCCTGGTTGGCGGCATCACTGGGTGGTGCACTGGCTTCATATTCCAGAAAGTTGGAAAGCTGGCAGCCACAGCGGTGGGAGGGGGCGTTTTTCTCCTTCAGCTCGCAAACCATACTGGCTACATCAAAGTTGACTGGAAGCGAGTAGAGAAGGATGTGAAAAAGGCCAAGGAACAACTGAAGATTCGGAAGAGCGCCCAAATACCAAACGAGGTCAAGAGCAAAACTGAGGAGTTGGTGTCGTTTGTAAAGCAGAATGCCTTAGTAACTGGAGGATTTTTTGGAGGCTTTCTGCTCGGTATGGCATCCTAAAGGGGTATCACTCCACTTCCACGGTTCAGCAGCCTCTATACACCATCGTAGAAAAATCCAGAGGCTTTCCACTTCCTCTTCATGCCCTTCTCCCTGTTGTAAATCTGAACCGCTTCCATGGGCGGTTACATCTGCCCATGTAAGTTAACACAGGTCCTCCCATGGGCTTGACATGCCACAGGGCAGCGCACTCTCCATCTGGAGGTCAACAGGAATGGTCATTTTCCCGTGTGTAAAATCTGCCCCAAACCATCTTTAAGATCTGTCCCTAACAGCTGGAAGAGCGCTATGTCGAAAGGAACTGAACATATCTGACTTTGAGCATGGGAAGAAAGTAAAGCAGGGACAGTTGTGGGAGTACCACTCGCTAGTCAGCTACTTTAGGGGGATAGTCTCCTTACAAAACTTTACAAGTAAATTGATGCTTTCTTTTCCTCTGGACAACTACTCCAGTAAACTATAATTATAGTTATCTTAGTTTGGAACTCAGAAGTGTGACACTCTTCAAAAAGGGCCATAATCTAAATACCTGAAAGTTTCACTAAGACCTGTTGGTTTTTCTTTTTCTTTTTTTGGGGGGCGGGTAGGGTAGGGTGGGCCTAGGGCTACCATTGAGATATATTCCCAGGCTTTTGGGTATTTTTCATTTTGAGAGGTCTCACTAAATTGCTCTCACTGGCCTGGAACTTGACAGTCTTATGTCTCAGCTTCCTGTGGAGGTGGGATTACAGGTCCAAGTCACCGGGAACAGCTTCCCCAAGACCTTAAGAAAGAACTGAAGAATGCATCTCCGAGTCTACTTTGCCTCTTCTCAATCTTCTCATTTGCCTTTTCCCCCAGGATTAGTTTGCAATAATCCATCTAGCTGGGCTCTCTACTTCAGGGCCTCGACTGCTTCAATCAAACATCAGCTGTGTGAAACTTTCATCTAGACGCTTCAAGGAGAAGGATCTGCTTTCGGGCTTAGGTCTGGGGTACAATTTCTATATTTGCAACTATAGGATTGATTCACATTTTGTCCTTTGTCAACCGGAGGACCAGCTCTGCTCTGGGAGGCTATCCACACAATTCATCTCACACTGACTTTGCTCTCGCCATACAAATCAGAAACAGCACTGACTTCTTTTCTTCATGACCAGGTGGAGAGAGAGTGGGCCCTAGGGGTCCAACACCTCTGCAGAAAGGGCAAGTGTGTGAGTGCAATCAGTGTTTCCATTGCCTCTTGGTCAGAAGGTAAAAATCATGGGTTCTGCCAAACTCAACACTGTGAGCAACGGAAAACAATGATCTTAAGGACTACCTTGCAAACTGTATGCTACATGGGAAGAAGAAAAGGTTACTTCTCTGCCTTTGAGTATGTCTGGGTTTCCACCTTTAATACCAGGATTAGATCTTCATATGTCTACCAATGGGGGTAAAACGCTACTAATACCACAAACTCTGTAGACCTGAGCAACAACCACTTGTTTATAAGCCAATAGGGTCTTTACAGTTTAAACCATGTATACATTCTTTCATTCAGTTAAAACTCTTACTTAAAAAACCAACCCCTCCAAAGGAAAATGTCAATTAGTACTTTGTTTAATTTTGTTTTTTTTAAGTCACTAAATAAATGGTAAATAAGAATTGGTTTTATGGTTTTCTTTTTGAAACAAGATCTCATACAATTCAGGCTGATCTCAAATCATCTTGTAGCTAAGGATGACCTTGAACTCCTGACCCACCTACCTCCACTCACAAGTGCAGGAACCACATGCATGTACTGCCACAAGCAACTGGAAAATTGACCCTCCCCACCCAGATAGAGTTTCTCTGTGTAAAAATCCTGTCCTGAACTTGCTTTGTACACCAGGTTGCCCTTGAATTTACTGAGATTCACCTGCCTCTGTATCCAAGTACTGGGATTAAAGGAGTGCACATCCATCGCTTGGCTGATGATTAACTCTTAAATGTAATCTATCTGCATTATATATAGACTCTACTGTAAATCAAGTATTAAAATAAGTATATATATGTATATATATTCTAATTTAAAACAATTATTAAAATCATTTAAGTATACAGACAGGGGGTTTAAATTATTTTTCCTTTAAGAATAAATGTCCATGTTATCTAATAAAGTGGAGATGCATCTTAGTACTGTGCTTTTCTGGCATACATAAAGCCATTCCTAGCATCATCAACCAACCAATCAAAAAAACCACTATTTAGAAAGATGGTCCTGAGTTTAAGGCCCAACCTGGGCTACCAATAAGACCTCGTCTTTAAAACAAAAGTATCTGAGAGGCTGTGGGTGTATGTGAAGCATGGACAAATCTAGGATGCTATAAGATCCAGTTCCTCCCAGGGTTCTTGCTCCTACAACCATTAGAACTCCCTGAGTTGTACCTGTGTCAGCTACTGAGGTGGCTCATAGTGAGCATAGTGGCAAACAGTTTCAGGCCACCAGAGAGATAAACCACATAATTAGAAGGTCGAACTTCAGGCCAGCTTGGAGGATGGGAACTGCACATTATATTCTATCACTGGGCCACATAGTTTATCATGTCTGAGTAATGTAACCCCAATACAGACTCTAGACGCTGGCTTTGGTGGGACTCTTGGACAGATATCTTGATGTCTGAATGGAGATACTCCCTGACACCATTTGTAGAGACCACGACATCTTAACATTTTTGACTGTTTTTGTGTTGTATCTATCCTTTATTATAAGCACTTTATAATTTAAAAAAATAAGCACTATATAGGGTTCTTCAGCGTTCTGTCAGTCATTCTAGCAAATTACTGATCCACAAGAAACTTAAGAAAACTTTTCTTAAAGTCAAGTTAGAAGGTATCTTTATGATGGCTAGAGACCCCTGAAGTGAGACTGGTATCTAGGGTAGTGGCCTCTGTGAACCTACACCTTTAGTTTGGGGGTTTGCACTAAATGGATTGTGATTATTAGAGGTGAATTAAATTGGAAACAGAATAACCAGTATATTTTTTACCCAGTTAGCAAAAATCAAGAGCTGTTGAGAAAGCTCAGTAGGTAAAAGTACTTGCCTGATACCTCTTTGATTCTCTAGGATACACATGGTTGGAAGGAGAGAACTGACCTCTGCAAGTTGTCCTCGGGCATCTACTTGCTTACCACAGCATGTACACACACACACACACACACACACACACACACACACACACACACACACACACGTGCACACAAATACAATGTTACATATGTTACATATTCCCAATGAGGTCAGCTCTTTGGATAAATGGGGCACAGTTTAAGGAAACAATTCTTTTTGTTTGTTTTGTATTTCGAGACAGGGTTTCTCTGTGTTGCTTTGATGCCTGACCTGGAACTCGTGCTGTAGATCAGGCTAGCGTCGAATTCACAGAGATCTGCCTGCCTCTGCCTCCTGAGTGCTGGGGTTAAAGGCGTGCGCCACCTTTGTGGCAAGGAAATACAATTCTACATGAAGAACAGTTATTGTTATGGGTAGGATCTGAAATGTCCTCTGGATGTGCTAAACACTTGGTGCTCAGCTTATAGCGAGGTAGTACACCTACTCTTATGAGGTGGTTGAGTTTCTGGGTATGTATGCTTAAGGTATAACAAGAGTTTGGCTTGCTCCCTTCTCTCTGTCCTCCTTCTGTCTCTCTCTTTCCCAGGCCATGACTGGAAAGGAGCGTCTCTGCCACATGTTCCATGTCATGATGTTCTTCCTTGCCATGGGCCGAAAAGAAAAGTGGTCAAATGAACAACTAAAGCCTCTGAAACCATGAGCCAAAATGAACAAGAATGGCCCCTTATTGGCACATGCATTTGAATGCTTGGACTCTATTTGGTGAAACTGTTCGTGAAGGATTAGGAGACCTTGTTGGAGGTGTCACTGGGGGTGGGTTTGGAGGTTCCAAAAGCCTATCCTATTCCCAGCTAGTTCTCTCTGCCTCATTTTTATAAAGATATAAGTTCTTAGCTACTGCTCCAGCACCATGCCTGCCTGCTATCATGTTCTCACTACAATGGTCATTGACTCAACTTCAGAAACTGTAAGCCCCAAATAAACTCTTCTAGAAGTTACTTTGGTCATACTGTCTTCATAAGAATAGAGAATAAAGCATTTCCTCCCAGTTTAGGTTAGTTTTCTAGGTATTTTGTCACATAGACAGGAAGCTAAGGACGATTTAAACTATGTTACGACTTGGATCTTTGTGTAATGGTTTATATACTCATTACTCACATGTTTGTATATATTTATTAAACTACAGAACAGTTGCATGTAATACAGGTCCTGTCTTTTTCTAGTATCGTATGTAAGGGTCAACCTTCTCCTTTGGAATATCCATATATCAAGACACTAAGTTAATTCCATGTGTGTAACATGAAGGGGCCTGCTTGTTGGGGTATGTGTCCCGCCCGGTACCCCACAGCTGGCAAGCCCCAAAGAAAATCACACAGAGGACTCCATAAGATTATAAACTGATTGGCCCATTAGCTCAGGCTACTTATTAGCTCTTATAACTTATGTTAGCCATAACTATGTGGCTAACATAGATAAAAATAGATTATTTTTATAAATGATATATTTATAAAATATAAATTCTATAAAATTATAGAATATAAAAATAATCTATTTTTATCTATGTTAGCCACATGGCTCAGTACCTTTCTCAGCGGGGCAGCTTACATATTGCTTCTTGGTGGTCTGGACAGGAATGGGAGGAATGGGCTTCCTCCTTCCCGGAATACTCCTGTTCTCATCGCCCCGCCTCTACTTCCTGTCTGGTTGACCCGCCTATACATCCTACCTGGCCAATCAGTGTTTATTTAAAACATGATTCACAGAATACAGACAATTCTCCTGCACCACTTCCCCCTCTTTTGGGGGAAGTTTTTGGGAATGTGGGCATAGTTTTCCTGCTGGTTGGGGGTGCTGATAATCTTATGGGGACCTAAGGAAAATTTAGAGTTATCATCAAGTCCATCCTGTGAGGCTTGATCATTTCAGGCAGTATCTTGAATCTGTTCTGGATGCAGAATTTAGGCATCTGGGCCATCTGTTCCTACCAGAGATTTCTCAGGTGGTCTTCCTTGATCAAACTAGATTTTTCTTATCTCAGAATGAATTCACAGCTTCTCATTTCCCATGGAAACAAAAGCAAAATCTCTTCTTCAAAGTAACATACTATTTGACTTCAATTTTGAAGTCAAGGTATTTTCAAAATACCTATCTGGGATTAATTCAGCCACACTTATAAGCAAATACCTTTTAGCAGCTGTTGCTCCTTCCTCAGCATTCAAACAATTCAAAGAGAGCATAATAGCATACAGTATTAAGATTCTCTGTGTATTTTCCATCTTTATGCGGCTTTATTTTAACCTCTATTTCTTTTATTTTTACTTTTACTTTTTGAGACAGGTTCTCTGTATATCTTTGTCCTGGAATAACTCTGTAGACCAGGCTCTCCTTGAACTCACAGAGATCCGTCTGTCTCTGCACACCCAGTGCTGGGATTAAAGGTGTATGCTATCACACCTTGAACTCAAAGAAATCTGTGTCTCTGCCTCCCAGGCATTGGGATTAAAGGTGTGCTTGAAGTCACAGAGGTCAGTCTACCTCTATCTCCCAAGTGTTGGGATTAAAGGTATGTACCACCACACCCAACTACTCTCTTTCTTTCTTTTTTAAGAACTTTAACCTTTAGCCTGCATATATTTTTAACACATAGTAAACCATTTAGAGGTTTTCTTCATCTTTGAATCTTTCTTTACTGTATCTCTCTCTCTTTTTCTGATCACATGAGCCTTTAATTTACTAAGCAGTATGGAGAGGATTAAAGCTGTGACTTTGATGGTTGGATCCAGCCCATTCCTTAGCTTTCTGCAATTTCAGTCTTGTGGCTGAGGTACCGGCCAGAGCTGTATTCAGTGCCACAACTCTACACTGTTTCAAGGCCCCTGCCAGTAAACAAGCTGCAGCATTCTGCTCACAGACCACACTCAGTTGGACTGCCTGCCTGAAAGAGTCAGAGTTTGCCCTGGCAGGACAGCCCAGAAAGCCGGCATTTTAAAACAGTGCAGCTTTTTTCCTGCTATTGCTGAAAAGCGAAAAGCATGCGTTCAGCTTTTCATCAACACCGTTTAAGTGTTTAGTGGCAGGACCTCTTAAAGAGCTGCATGGTTTTGCAGCTAAAGCTGAGTCAGGAAGTCTCTCTTAGATGAGAGTGCTTGCTTGCCTCTAGCAAGCAGAGCAGACCCAAGAAATTGCTGCTATCAAGAAAACATGCTTTATTCTTTCCCAAGTTTTCTCAGGCTTTCTGTGGATGCAGTTATCCACGTGGGCGCCATTCTGTAACACGAGGGGCCTGCTTGTTGGGGTATCTGTCCCGCCTGGTACCCCAACAAGCTGGGAAATGATGTAGGTGGGTCTTCTGTCTATGCGTTACTTTCATTGGTCAAACAAAGAGACTGCCTTGGCCTTTGATAGGACAGCAGCTTAGATAGGCAGAGTAGACAGAAGGCTGGGAGGAAGAAGGCAATCAGGCAGACACCATGAAGCTCCAGCCCAAGATGGACGTGGGTTAGAATCTTCCCGGTAAGCCATGACCTCGTGGTGATATACAGATTATTAGAAATG